GACTTGAAGAGTGAAGTGCAGTTTTCCCTAACAGAAAGCAAAATTTCACGCACACTCTTTGTTCCTTCTGGTCGGCCATCTCACTAATCGCCAAAGGGTTGAAACAGGAACGCACACAACAGAGCACCACAGACAAACCACTTAACTCAGACTGACGCCAGCTCACTAACAGTCGCGGGAGACCCCCAGCTAACACCACCTAGCAGCACAACTCGTAACTACAAAGCATGCGCGCGCAACAGGTCGTTTCCGGTTATTTTTGAGTCCCCCTTCATATACGAACACATCACTATGAAGTGCCATGCATTGCATGCAGTTGACTACTATGCTTTGTGCTTCCATCTCATGAACCTTATTTATACCACATGACTTTTGCTTGCATATTCTTTGAGATAAAGGTTGAGGCTATCGATTGGTATGTCTGTTGACTGGATTTATAGATTTTTCATTGAAGTAAATGATCTTGAAAATGCTGATTCTAAATCAGCTGTTTGTAGACACAGCATCAGGTAGTAAATGTTTATCAGATGTGAATACTGAAGACATTCTGAATTAATGTTTTTCTTATTCCGATGACAGTAATTTTGATTGTGAGGATGAAATAACAGATTTCCAATTTTGATACCTGTGTCATTTTGCATGTCTGGAATTTAAATCCTCCCATGCAGATACGTTAACATTATGCCAGTAACAAATACATGTAAATCAGTTTCCAAGTGGGTTAAATTTTGGTTATGTGAATAGGAGGAGTATAATCCTGCACCTTTTTGAAAATAATAACCTCACTGGTACTAATCCATTCTAAATGTATGTATGAACAGTCAGAGTTAAAATCTCCGTTAACAAGTTCAGTGAATCCAGACTGTTGAAGCATCTGTGCATACATAAAATTATTTTACAGATTAGGACCATGATGGTACAAAACTGTCAAAGAAATCTGTGTATACTGCCTAATGAGAAGCAGGCCTGTATCATGTTCTACTTGTGAAACTAAGAAATTCACTCGTGCTGAAAAACATTAACTGTTGTCATCTTCTAATTCACATTCAGTACTGTAACATGGCTACTGTATGCAAGAAGAGCAATGTATGAGGATTTGAGACCCATTATACTTGTATTGTCACATGTTAGTGACTAGACACGGGGTTTGGACGTACGGGATTCTTATAACTCATAACTACAGGTAACTATTAACAGATGCATGATCTATGCGCTCTACAAATCATTGTCCTGCACCACATACAGAGTCGTCTTTGTCTTCACCAGTTGTTGCCTGGTAACATCTCTCAGCAGCATAGGTTCTTCAGCTTCAGTACTCATGTCCTTACTGGCTGGCAACTGTCTTGCAACTCCTCATGGCCACAACTGACTCATTCACCCACAAGCTCTCGCTATATAACCTCAGCAAAGAAAACAACATTTCCAGCAGTTGCTCTATTGCTGTGATGTGTGTATTGAACTGTTACCCAGCAGTGGACAATTTCTTCTGGCTCCATCATTCCAGCCTTTTAGCTGCCATATCACAATATGCTGTTCCAGATTCCAATTTGAATTTAGTGATGGGGAAATGGTTAAATAGTCATCACTATTCCTTGGACAGGGGATCAGCCCATCACAGGACAACACAAACACACAAGAAACACACATACATCCACGCCTCAAGTGGGATTTGAATCCACAATCAGTGTTTGAGAGGACAAAGACATTTTTGTGCCTTGGACTGCACAGCCACTGTGATTGGCTTCCACCTTCATCTTACCATTCAGTGGTAGTCTTAAGCTGCTATGTTAAAAATAAATCATAAGTAAATAAATAAATGAAATGCATGCTGCATGCTCATGCTAACTGAAGTGCATAAACTGTGATGTATGCCATTCTTCATTTCATATCTGTTTTTGTCAACCATTTTCCTACATCTTCTTTCAGATCAAGAGACCAAATTTTAGAACCTTACTGAACAGGGTGCAGACTTAAAATTCCGCTATGAAATCCTTTTGGTTATACTAAAACAAAGTATTCTTGAACTGATTATCTAACTCTACAGAGGTGAATCCTTGTTCAGAAACTAGCAGTCACTCATCAAGAAATTAATCTTAATATGGTAGCTGAAGGTTTATTACTGTATTCATGCATTCCTGCTACTGATCCCTATCCAGAGCCAGATTAATGCAATTAAAATGGTGCAACCAATTTTTTAAAGATTCTTCAGTCTACACCTAGGTCTTCCAAGTGGTCTCATCCCTTCAAATTTTCTGAACTGATTTTGCTCATAATTCATCATTAACTAATTTAATAAATAAATTATTAAAGAAGAAAGTCGTCTTCTGGGATCTGGCACCGTGTAGTCTTGGTTTTAACCGATGCCTCCATCTTCAGGGCAGTGAATTATTAAAGAATCTGGAACTGTGCAACTTGGACTTACTTTCTCATTAATAAAGAAAAGTCAACCATATTTCTATAAGTATTCATATTAATTTTGTTTGTCTCTCATACCAGGTGTCTGAACTGCACAACACTCATGTGAACAAAAATAAAGTGAGTGGCAACAATCTTCACATTGCTAGTGCAAAGTGGGGAGTCCTGCATATAGCAGAATACTGTGTCAGAAGAATGAAAAAGTGATGCAGCATTTGGAGTTACTGCACATCATACTTATATATACATATATATCTTTCATGATAACCTGAATTTATTTGGCTAAGTAATATATATATAGAAAATTTATTTGCTTATGCACTGCTATTAAAAACACCTTTGCTTCACCAGCTAACAGATCTGCCCAAAGTGCTGTGGAACTGACACAAATTCACTGTAATGTTTCAGTATCTTTATCACGGGTGCTGTGTAGTGCCCCTTATCACACCCTCTGGCATGCTGCACCATATAAGTTCCCTGTATCCCAAGATCAGTGAGTTAAGCCATTCCCAATATAAACCCTAAAAAATTTTTCCTGTGTAAATTTTCATTCCTAATTTTGACGGTGGTAACTGTTTTTCTTCTACTATTATCTCTTGCAGTGTTCACTATCTTCCTGTATGCTTCAGCAGATGATGCAGTATATTCACAACTTATTCTCTCTACTTGAACATAAAGTAATGTAAAATTAAAATAATTATATATTTTAGTTAACTGATTAAGGTATCTTCTGTGTTAAAATTTGTCCATTTGAGATTAGAAGAGTAAAGTAAAAAGTAAAAAGTAAAGCTACCCTGTACCAGACCACGAAGGCCCATAGGGCTGTGAGACATTGAGGGTCCAACATTATCTAGATAATCGGCTCAAAATGGCAGTAAGGTTGTCAGCTTTATGTGCCAGCCGTGCTTTACTCCCCAGGAAAATTATTTAATTAATTCCTGGTATTCATTTCTGTTAGAGGCTGAGTCGACCCCAGGGCCATAGTGCAGCTGGAAGGGTTACGTCAATTGAAAAAATCCAATGACATGATCGGGACTTGAACCCGCGACCTTCTGGCTTGTAGCACGAGTTCTGATATAAATTACCTTCGCATAGTTGATTTCAGTGCATTAAATTGAGCAAGGAACATTTTTGTACTTGCACTTGACTAGATAATGTCCATTCTTTAATTTTCTGTAGTATGTTACTATAGTGTTTTATAACCTGGTCTCTGATGTAATAAAATTTGTATATCTTTGTTTCACATTGCATTCCTTGGTACTAAGGTTGTACGGGAAGTATATTATTTATTTTACTCCTAATTTATCAGGGTGATACAAAATACTAACAAAGCACGTGGTTTTAATAATTTTTAATATATTTTTGTAAATGAAACACTTACAGGAGCCAGTTATGTGAATTAAATTTAGAAATTAAAATGTTTTACATCTTCATTTAAGAATGTTTTCTTTAACCCAAAGGCTGTAATATTCAACTTAAGTTGAAAAGGCTTCTGTTACTGTACATAGTGGCATTCAACTGCGCAATGTATATGCATTTTTGCTTTTGTTTTTTATATACTGGGTGTCCAGATGAAAGGTATCCAAAATAAAAAAAATTATATCTTGGAAAGTAATTGTCATACACATATCTATAGTTTATATCATTGGAAAGGAAAACCCTGTAAGTTTCTTTTTTCCATGCCCAGCTTACACGCATGCGCTGCCACATTTCTGCCATCATGTTAGGAATCACTTGAACAGAGAGATGGCTGGGATATGAATTGGCAGAAGTGGATCAATTACTTGGCCTCCTAGGTTGCCATTGAATTTTTTCTTGTGGGGTTATATGAAGAACACTGTCTACCAGGTTAAGATCAATGACCTGCAACACCTGAAAGCCTGCATAAGGGACACTGTGGCTATGGTAACACCAAACATGCTGGATTGTCTGGATATTTGTCCAGGCACCAAGGAAACCCACGCTGAAATTTGTTGAGAAAGTTATATACTCAGAAAAACTTTGATAGTTTCCCTTTATAGTGGTGTAACCCACAAATGTGTATAACAAAAGTATTCTGAGATATAATTGTTTTATTTTGGACACCTTTCATCTGGACATCCTGTAAAACTGCATTATTTTAGGAAAGTGGTGAGACAATAATATGCATCAAAATGTTTAAAGGTACTGCAGTGTCACAAGATTTAATTACAATCTTCAGGAGATAAAGGATTAATATCAAAATGGAATTGAATATCACCATTCTGTGGTCTGAAAAGTACTCTGAAGGAGAAAGTACACGCTGTATCTACCAATCTGTGTTTTTGGAAGAAGTACACACCTTGTCGAGTGTGCATGTCCCATACAACTTTCCTGTTTATCTGCACAGTTTCTTTTGGTCCTGTAGAAATGGCGTGTTTTGGATTACCATCCAAATCCCATTCCACCCACAGTGCAATACCATGGCATGTTCCAGATCTGAAATTATAACATAAATTAGTGCAAGTACATGGGACTGTGATAGGAGTGTTAATTTCTTAAAGAAACTGTTTTCACACAAATAAATGCAATTAAATAATCAGTACTGTAATATCTATTGGATATTTGGATTTCCTTCCACTCTGTGTTCAATTTTACCTTCTTCCATGATCACTAGCTTCCTTCTGTTCATAGCCACAATAAACAAGGAATTAAAAGAAACACCAGTGACAAAATGTACTACCACACACAAAGCACAACGATCTCAGCCAAAGAGCAAAGTAACTGTGGTGCAACAACTAGCATGGCTTAAAGGCAAGTGCAATATATGAGGTCTGTCACAAAAGATTATGACTATGTACGGACAATTTCTGGCAGAGAGGAAAGTGAATACTGACTGTTGCTTCAACCACAATCACACCAAACTGATTTACAAGTTGTGGAATATTTAAAAATACCTTACACTAAATTAAAATTCACTGCACACAGAAAAATAATACAATCTTTATTTTGGGCTTTGGCTTGGTCTAGAAGAAAGAATCATTAATGCATGAACACTAATCAGGATTTCACTGTAAATATACTTAACAGAATTATAATTATACAGATATAATTTGGTTGGACTTCCCCCTCCACGCCTATTTATTATGTTTTCACTGTAAAACAGATTTCAATTTTCAAATTTTATCTACTGCATATATACTTGTTGCAAATTTTCTCACATCTTAATTTCTCACCATTTTTTCAATTACTTCACCTTCATTTCAGAGCTCTTGGTCAACAAGAGTGAAAACATATACCTCTTTCCAGATGTGTTTCTTGTAATTACCCTTCTTCAATATATAGCACATTGTGTAAAACATACACAGAATTACCACCGGGCTTAATTTATCCCCATGCCATGAAGATGTAAGGGGGAGTGGATGGAGATGTGGGGTCACCTTCACCCCAAGCACCCACTGTATAAGAGAGTGGGTGGGCCACAGTGTCAGTCTGGACATTATGGAGAAGAGAAAAAAAAATCTCCTGTCTCTGCTTGGAACTGAACACCAACTCCTTGGTCATCCAGCTGATAGCCTAGTCAGTATACCAACTGAGCTGTTCCAGGTCCCTGAGAGCTATTTAAAGTAAAAGTTACTAATTTAAATCTGATCTATATTTCATATCACCAATTTTAAGTACAATGAACCTCTTTTTAAAAATTTCATGAAGTACTGTATGAGCTTCATGTAATGAAGAGTTCGTTTTCAAATGAATTCTGATGTACATCATCAAGTTTAAATTCCCAATATGAAATCTTATCGAAACTTGCTGAACAGTATCAGGGGTCAAAATATGACAAGACATTGACATGATTTTTTCACTTTCATGCATTTCAGATAAGAAATATAGAAAAATTGCATACATTTATATGTATAAAAACTAAATCTTCATGGTGTGCATCCTGTTGTGTGTTATACAATAGCGTTAATAGGTCTGTCTACACAACAATAATATCCACAAACAGAACTGATACTGAAGTTTCAACATTCATTTATTAGGCAAAGGCGTTCGCTATGTGTTCGACCTGCTTGTATATTATGTTGTATGTGAAGGGAGCTGCAATGTGAACAACACAACAACAATGGGGCTTCCTTCCCATGCAACATAAAACACAAACTTTATAAAATCTCCACATAAGGAAAACAAAACTAACTGCAACTAACACAAAGAAAAACATTTAGGAGACCAACGTGACAGAGATTTCGAGAAGGGCCTCCTCATGGTGCGTTGACCTAGGCCCTAATACCTAACAACAATGCCCCCCGCATGAACGCGCGTGCACGCACGCACGCACGCACCCCCTTATAGTTCTTAAGCTTATTTAAAACCAGTTCTTAAAATCAAAGTATAATTAAAAAAATGAATTTTAAATTCAAATTTTAAGGCTAAAACCACATTAACAACAATATTAATATTAAGTCTAATCTGTATATATTATTTTTAAATTCTTAAGCCTAATTAAGAACTGCACATTCGTTAGATTACATTTGTGTATATTTGTTAGAAACAGAAAGGTTGTATTCACTACCAAGTGGTAAAATATTGTAATAATATGGATCCATATTGAGAAACACAATTCAAGAACTAAGATCAAATTCTTATAGATTTGACTGATGATGACCTTGTGCAGGTTTGAAACATGCAGTGAATGCCTTTGCCTGATAAACAAATGTTGATACGTTAGTATCGATTTTGTTTGTGGGTATTACTGTAATGTATGATTCTATTAATGCTATTATAAAAATTAAATATGAATTTTAGTGTTAACTATTTAACTTCTTTGAATTTATTCACTACTGTAAGCAGGAAAAATTCTGCCCAAATTAGAACCTTAATATCATGAGAAGTTTTATGCAACATTGAGTTTTGTATGTTGTACAACTATTTTCATACATCATTTGTTAGATTGCAGTAACTTCAGGTCTAACATAGAAATACAGACCCTTCACAGATGACTTTCCCCTCAGTCTTTACAGGATCTTCAATCAATTTTGTGAAGATGAAATCCAAGATACGGAAAGGCTGACTCAGGGCTTGACAAGGATACTCCCATAAGGGTTGAGGTTCAACTGGGCTGTCTGCGATGGAACTTGAACTCTGAACAAACAAGAAGAAAGAGAACAGAAATTATTCTGTAAACACCAATATAAAGAGTATCAAATATTCTTCACAAATGAAAATTTAGAAAGAACTCTTGAACAATGTCTTCATCAAACAACATGTTGCTTCAAGTACTCACATTTTTTTCTTTTTCCTGAGTTGTTAATCCAACATCCTTTTAACTTGTTATCAGGAGACCATTACCTTGTACAATGACAGTGTGTGATATTAGTTTACCACATTTAAGTTGGTGGAATCAAAGACATCTCTCGTCTTTCAATGGCAACCAGATAGGTCTCAACCCTCATTCTGTGTGCTGATGTAACGATTTCAGAGAGAAAGATGCAAAAGAGGTGGGTTCATATCTCAATCTGATGATAAAGTAATGAATAAATAATAATACTCCACTTCTAAAATGTTAAATTTTGAGGACAAAGCCACTGGCACTTCAACTGCCACCACCATCACCACCATATCCAAATAACAGTTTTATAGAACTGTTTAATATATCAGTAAATTTGAGACATGACCATGATGTTCCTATATGAATATGTAAAAAATCTTTACGTTTTATCTTACCTAACGTGTCAGTGATTGTTGACATGCATTATTATTTTCATGGTGGTATCCACATTACATGTTTGGACCCACAATCCATAATGTGCTGCCTAAACAACTAAGATTACACACATATAAATTCAACTACACCATGAAGTTAAAGTCACCAAATGTCCAAAATTTGATGCATTTGCTGATTTCATGTGAAGTGAAAGTAATGACTACAAAGGCTACTTCCAACAGGACAAAGTCACCTTTCACATAAACAGCTGTGTCAGTCATTACCAGGGCCTGGATTTTGATGACATGTCATCTTTTTTTCCTTGTATCCTATGCGATGCTCTTAAATATATAAATCTCAGATATGAGCTGCTGGTTACAGAAATGTAAATTTTATAGGTATTTTTTTGTCATTTTTTCATTTTGGGGGTAATTTTTGGTACATTTTTGGACTTTTAAGGGTATTTTTGTTATTTTTGGCCATTTTAGGGAATTTTTCTTCATTTGTTTTCTGAAATGTGAATAACATGGAAGCGAATTGTTCTTTCTTTTCTCCTTTAGGTCATATTTCTGGATTTTTTCAGTCATTTTTTAATATTTTCAGGTCATAAAAATCCGGGCCCTGCTTATTACATTTTTGGGTCATATTTTAGGTCATTTTTTAAATATTTTCAGGTCAACAAAATCTGGGCCCTGGTCATTACAATTGAAAAATCTGGGGATCACCACAACTGAATAAATTATTTGAGTATGTATGTGATACTCCAAAGGTGACTGTGTGGTAGGTTTTTTTTTTTTTTTGGAAAGAACCATTACTGGGAGGCATTTACCTAGATCTATTACAACAGCTTGTTCCCCCTTCCACAGGTCGATATTGGAATAAAAAATTCAACTGGTGTTGTGTTCCAACATGATGATGCTCCATATCATTTCAGTCTACAGGTCTGCCTTGTTCTAAATGCTGTTTCTAAATCAGAGGACTGTAAGAAATGGGTGAATAATTAGGCCTCTAGTAAGCCCTGACCTTGATACTTCATGTGGGGCATGTGAAAATAATTGTCTATGCTGTAAAAATTTGACTTTGATTGCATATGACAGAATCAGTACAGCTGTAGCAATATTCATGGCAGATATGCTACACAATATCTGGATGGAAACAGAGTACAGCTTGATGTTTGTAGAGTTACAAATTGTGCTCACATCTCAAGACCGAGTAAGATATGACATTAAATTTTGAAAGTTCTCACAAAATTTCTAAAAAAGATACTTGAATTATGTTACAAATTTAAAACAATGAAATTTTGAAATGCTGGGCATTTTTTTCCACTGACCCTGTACAGAACTGGCATGTTGCTTGGGGGAACAGAACACCTGTACTAATTATCATTTAGGCTGCACATTTTTTGTTATATAAAGCAACATTTTAGGCATTAAAAAAGATATTTATACATTTGTTCCCTTTGCCATACCTCAATCAGCTTATCAAAATCTGTCATCTTGAAGCCCTCCACAGAATGAAGTGGTGCTCGAATCTTCCAGAGATCATCGAATTGTACAGCCATTGCCCACACTGTTACACCCATAGGTAAAGTTTTTGCAGACATGGATATGTGCTGGGAAACTTCATTTTTCAAATACCAGAAGTAAATGTTCTGCCATGGCAGCACTGCAGTAACAAAGTGAGGTTCTCCAAAAACTAATGTTATCTGTGACACATTCAAAAGAAAACAAATTAACATAAAAATCTGTAAATGAAATGGAAAAAAAAAACTAAAACAATTGAATATATTCTATATATAAGTAATTTTACATCTTGGACTATACAACTGGACAGACTGGTGGAATATAAATATGTGAGAACTGTATTCAAGAGGTAACCAGTTCAGCTGCTGGGTAGGCTACTTATTATCCCAGCTGAGGTGTTCTGTCTTCCAGGCAAATATTGGACTACAGTGGACCATAACTAAGAAGATACTGTTTAAAATGGTTTCCAACCTAAAACGTTAAAATCAACAGGATTCCAAAAGTAATACCATAAGAATAATATATATACATCCCATGTCAAATGTTTATTCCAATAAAAATCATTTCTAAGAAGAACAGTATTATAGACACAATTGAACACTAAACCCGTTTAATAAGTTTCTGTTGGACTATATTATGTATATGGGGTACACGGTAGCATAATTGGTTGAGGCACTTTGCTACAAACTGGAAGGACACGGGTTTGAGTCCCAATGAGGTGGATTTTTCTTCAATTTACCAAATCCTTCCAGCCATACTATGGCCCTGGGGTTGATTTATACTCTAACAAAAATGAGTACCAGGAATCTTCCAGGAAGGTAAAGGGCAGCTGGCGCGTAAGGCTGACAACCTTACTGCCATCTGTGAGCCGAATGTCTAGAAGATGTGGGAGTATCAAACTCTCACAACCCTATGGGTCTTCACAGCCTGTTACAGGGACAACTTTACCTTTTTATATTATGTATATGCAGAAGCGAATGAAAAACAAAGTAGACTCTCACATAAACCAAACAAGGCGCATTGCTTAGTGGCATCCAGTAGTTCTAGGTGTGTGGCTGAAGTTGGCAGAATTAGAGGTGACTTTCTCACCACCTCCATTCATGTAGATGGTAGCAAGGTCTTTGTATTGAAGGTTTCATTGGGCTTCATGTAAGTAAACCAGCTTGCAGGAGTTTGAGGTTCTCACAGCAGTGGTTATGACGAGTCCTTTCTTTTGGGACATAATGCTGTCTAGCATGTTGAAACTCAACCAACATTTTGGAGGAACATGGGCCTCCATCTTCCAACAAAATGTCAGCCGACTTTCAACAGACTACAAAGTGTTATAGGGGAGTCAGGATAGTGTAGTCAGTATAGTGACTAGCTACGGGGTGGATGACCAAGGGGTCAGAATTCGAGACCTGGTAGGGTCAAGAATTTTCTCTTCTCCACAGCATCCACACTGGCCATAGGGCCCACCCAACCTCCTATCCAATGAGTACTGGGGGCTCTTTCCTCGAGGGTATAGCGGCTGGGGCATGAAGCTGACCACTCACCTCCATCCAGTGCTAAGGTCAAGAAAATGTGGACCTACGCATCCACTCCTCCATATGCCTTCATGGTGCAATGCTTAATTAGTTAAGCACAAGGACAACACAGTGTTATATCCCAGAAGATGGGACTCTTCACACGACTTAGGCATCATATATAGCTGTATGCATTACTACAAAAGCAAATATAAAGCACGGGCATTATCAGTTTCTGAGAAACTGAGGAAAGAGCACTGGATATAGGAGATCACAAACCACGAAATGGCTGATATGCTGATAACACTTTCGTGGTTTGGCCACATGGATCAGCAAGATTGCAGCAGTTTCTTCACCATGTCAATAGTCTTAGACCTACCATCAAATTCACAATGGAAGTTGAAGCTACTGATACCCCTCCCTTTTTGGATGTTATGGTCATGAAGAGGG